TTGGTCATGCATCACCCAGTTTTTGCCAGAATCCTACCAAGTTGGTTTAGCCAGAATCCACCATTACCCCTGATGTTTCCTCTTAGTAATTTTCCATCTACTGACTCCCACCATGTTTCTTAGCTATCAACCCCTACTTGTCCATGCTGAATTCATAATTGAGCCAAGTTGTTTTTTTTAATTTCTAGAGAGGTTGTCCTTAAGATATATATGCCTGTAAATTCAGTTACTGATTCCTTACATGCATCAATATCTACGTTTCCCCACCAGCAAGACAAGATTTGAGCACACTTTCATTTTCCTTTGGTCTGCATCACCTCTCACACCATTATATTGACATTGAGAGGGATAAACTGGAACCTTACCCATTCTGTCATCTTGTCAAGAGATGCCACAAACCATTTCTCCATGTTAGTCATTCCTTTGGTGAGATAAAGTGGAAAACAAAGACGAGTTGCCTAAATGTGTGTGGTGTAAGGTTCCTTCTTAGATTTTCTAAATATACATTTTATCATATAGATCTCAGACAACTCTTTACATACTTGAAAATAATTACTTTTATATTTTAATTAATTAGATTATTTGTACACTTGATATGCAAAATGCTGCTGTATAAATACATTATGAATAGCTTTATTGAATATTAAACATGTGAAAGAGGATTGTACCTTCTTGTTCTTGCTTTTATATACTGAAAAAGAAAGCAAATAGTTCCAAGCTTGGCTAATGTCTAGGAATGTTTGCTTTTCAGGGGCAGAAACTTGAAGAGCTGATTTCTGCTTATCAAATTACACACATCATCCTCTGTTCAAAATAAATTGAAAATTCTCATATATAAGTATTTCACTTTTTAACATACATAATGCATCTTAAGTAATGCTTCTTAATTTTTCTAAGTCAGAGTCAGAAATTAACTTTATTTTGCTACTTAATTGTTAAAATGTGTAAGTGTAACCAGTGTAAGCTTAATCCAACTGCATTTCTGAACCAATAAACAGAGTGAAAAATGTACCAAGAAACAGTGTTGTAACTTTGGTTTGTTCTCATTTAGCACCGGACTTTAAAGGTAGACTGTATTTCCAAGAATTCCTTTTAAGATGTATGTATGTACTCTTTAATGTAAGTTGAATAGGGGAATACTATACTAAAAATAAAATAATTTAAAATATTATTAACCAAAGCATATCTGTTAGAGAAATCTGTAATCTTGACTGTGCTGTGAATATGAACTTAAATCTTTAAAGTTTTCGTAAAAGACCTTGTCAAAGTCCTTGTGTTCAAACAAACCACCCATTACAAGCTATACGAACCTTTCTACCAGTTTAAACCTTGTAGTTTAGGGCACTGTGTCTCCCTGAATCAAACATAATACTCCAACAACACGTTTGTAATAGTTTTGTTTAAAACAGATGAACATTCAAAATGAAAATAGACCTTCATCAATTTACCAATTTGATTTAAAAAGAAGCACATGGGGTAGGAATTTTAGAAAATGCTTTCATTTGGGGGAATTTTTTCTTAAGTAATGAATCATAATAGTTTTGAGGAAAACTCTTTTGTTGTTTCAGAGCACAGGTTTAACTGTCTTTGTTGTTGTTGTTGTTAGAGTCTGGACTAAACATTAAGAATAAAGATTTAGTCCTCAAGAAATTTAGCTTCCAGTGGAAGAAATAAGGAAAAATCATAAATTTTTAAGTTGTTTGGTACTTTAGAGATATATCATTGAGGTACAGATAAATTAATGATAAGGTGCACCAGGATACACACTAATTAGGGTTCCAAGTTGACCACCCAGTTCTGCTTACAGTCCCTACCACCTTGCTCCTGCCATCTAAGGCAGTGATCACAAAATAATCCCAGCTTCATTTCTCCTGAGCACCAAGCTCATATACCAGCCTGCCTACCATCATCCTCAAATCATCTCAAATTCCCAGTATTCAATGCTGAAACTATAATCTTTTTTCTCCATAACCTTTTTTCTCCTCTATACTTTTTTTTTTTTTTTTTTTTAAA